ACACAAGTTCCATGAAGGCAAAAACTTCATTTGTTCACTACAAAGGTATAATCAGTACCTGTGAGAGTGGTCAGCATATTATAGGCATTCAGTAAATACATTGAACAAATGAGCTGGAATTCCTTGACAAAATTAAGTCCTAATTCCCTTCATTAACTGTATGGGTTAAATCTTCTGCTCTGTGTGAAGATGGCACTAGCTATGTACCCTCCTTGGAAGGACTGACAACAAAGCCATTGAAATTAATTTCCTTGTGATGTGGTTCAGATGAGGAAACTTTATTGAGAAAGGCTGAGTTCATGAGCAGATGAATGGGTGGAAAACCCCATTCCTCTAAGTAGCCTCCTCTGACCAGTACATCCACAGAGATGGTGTGACTCTTCCTCCTGCATCTCTTAAAAATGCTTTGGGTGGGAAAAGGTTAAGAGTAAAAGGCTCCTCCTTACTCAGATAGGGATGCTCAGCCATCCCTGGAAGATGACTTATGGAACCCCACAGTTAATGGCTCTGTAAGCAGATCCAGCCTTTTAAAGGTCTCACAAAAGGGCACACATACAATTGAGACCTCAGTCTAAGTACTGTCTGGTACTGATAAGGCTGGCTGGGAACGCCCTGTCCTATCCCTTCCCCAAATCAAAAGCTCTTTGAGAGGCAGCCAAGCATTTGAAGCCAACCAAGCAGTACTAAGTGCATTATCTTGTCTAAGCAAAGCATGAGAAGTAAATTAAGATCCTTGCTGACCTCACTGACTTAACATTTTAAAAAAGCCTATGCTCTTACCTAATGTATGGTCATTGCCCTAAAAAAAAAAAAAAAAATGCCCTCCCTTCCCTTAAAATTGTGTTAAACCCAAAGAGACTTCTGTAGTCTCATTCTATAAAGACATTTCTTTCTCAACTTTATAAACAAATTGGTAGCAGGCAGAATGGAATTAATATCATTAACTTAGACCTATAGAATCTACCCTAGAAGTTGGGCATACAGCCCCTAAATTTATGAGGAAGCAATGTTGATGCCTGAAAATAAAACCAGAAGTCTTTTAGGTAAAAAGCAAGGAGTGCGTGTTAGATTAGCAGCCAGCAGCCTCCTTCATGGAGGCTTTCATAGCCAGCACAGACTTTCATGGGGAAAGGAACAGCTTTACTGTTTAGGACCCTCAGTACTAAACATTATTATTATTTCTGATTGGCCTTTCAGATGTCTTTTGCCAGTGGAAATGCCAAATAATTTTTAAAAGACCAAAACTTTTTAAAAAGAAGACAAAGGTCTTGTTTGCTTGAAGTGTTGAAAAAAATTTTGTAAGGGCTGGAGATTGAGCCCAGGCCCTTCTACATGCTGGGGATGTGCTCTACTGTTACCAGGTTTGGGTGCTGGAGTCTCTTTCTGCAGGTGATTTATAGGTTCTTTCTGTCCTGAGCAAAGAATTGGTCAACATAAGCACAAATGGTAGTAAAATTTTATTAAAGGTAGGAAAAGAAACAGTCTCTGTAGAGCGCATTTGGGCCAAGTAAAAGTAGGAAAAGAACACTCTACCGTGTGAGGGTGGGTCACCATACAAGAGAGAACACAGTGGCAAAAACTCAGTGTGAACTGTCCTTTTTGTAGCACCCACTCATTGGGCTGAGGTCAGGTCTAGGCCATACCATAGAAGCTCTCACGAGAAGTTCACATGCAGAGCTTTGGGAACTGTTCTGCGCTTGTGTTCGGCACCTTGTTAAGCCTCCTTTCTCAGCCAGTTCTAGCCACACCCTCCCTTAACTAATTAATTGAGGAGTGGCCTCTTAAATTAATGAGTGGTCTCATTACCACTGAGCTAAGCCCCAGCCCCAAAGTCTTGCTTTTTAACTGAAGTGTGAGTTCCATATATCAAACCTCACGCACCAAGTGGAAATCTGTGACAAGTAGTAGATTATATACCAGATTGAAAAAGTAAAGCTATGGACAAAGCCTGAGTGCCTACCTTGAGCTGGAAGCACTTGTGATGACTCCTGTGAAGAGGGAGGGGTTCAAGCTTTGAAGACAGAAAAGATGTCCACACAGTTGGAAAACATTCAGATTGAAGGAACAATGAATGCAAGATATACAAGGAAGTATAATACAAGGAAAGTTTTTGTATAGGAGCAGAAATGTATATGAGTTTTCTGATGATACTATAACAAATGCTTACAAACTTGGTGACTTAAAGAGTACAAACTCAGCCAAGTGCAATGGGAAACACTTGTAATCCGGCTACTCTAGTGGCTGAGGCAGGAGTACTGCAAGTTTGAGGCTAGCCTGGGAAACCTAGGAAGACTGTCTCAAAACAAAATTAGAAAGGGTTAGGGAGGTAGTTAAGTGGTAGGGTATTTGTTTGCAGAGTATATTCAAGGTCCTGGGTTCAATCTCCTGTACTGTCAAAAAAACAAAAAACAAAAAACAAAAAAACTTCCTGTCTCACAATATTGAAAATCAGAAGTCTGACACTGGTCTCAGTGGGCTAAAATCAAGGTACCTATAGGATTACACTCCTTTCTGGAGGCTCTAAAGGAGAATCTGTTTCCTTGATTTTCTAGATGAGATTGTTCTAGAGACTTCTACCTTTGGAACATGGCCTCCATTTTAAATCCTTAACTTTAATGATATCTGCAAAAATCACTTTTGCAGTGATAGCATCTTCACAGGGTGGGTTAGGCATGGTCATCTTTGGGGAATATTATTCTCCCTCAATTAGTAAAGAAAGAAAGCAGCTAGCTCAAGAGCAGTCCTTCGCAAGGGAAGAGTGTAGAAGGAGAGAAAGAATTCCCACACTTGTGACGCCTCTTGGCCTAGTGTTTTGGATAATAGAATGCACTGGGCTCTCAATTCATCTTATTTTCATCCCGCAGATCTGACTCACTAGCCCAGAGGTACCTTAGAACCAGATGTGCCCTGTGAGCTACCCCCATGCCCCAGTTTCATGAAGAAAAAAGCAGAGCAGCCTCTACCAGCACTACCCACTGTCAACTAGAATAGGTTACATTGGGATTTTTTGTTTGTTTTTTATTTTTGCCATAATAAGTAACCTCTACTTCTCAGTTGTTTAAGACAATACAAGTATATTTCTTGCTCAGGCCACATGTTCACCACAAGCTGGCCAAGGAGCTCTGCTTCAAAACTACTCACTCCAGGTCTTAGATTGACAGGGAAACCATTATTTCAGAACTTTCCAAGATGGATGTGGTGGCTCACACCTGTAACCCCAGCACTTGGGAGGCTAAGGTAGGAGGATTCCTGCGAGTCTGAGGCCAGCCTAGGATACAAAGTGAGTTTGAGGTCAGCCTGAACTGTGTAGTGAGACCCTGTCTCAAAAAAGACAAAAAACAAAAACAAAAAAAAACAAAAAAACAAAAAAAACTTTCCAGGTTCCAGGGCAGGGAGAATGAGTGTTCTACTAGAAACTCTCACACCAGCCATCACATGCTCCAGCATGGAAGAAAAGCACAGTAATTCTATCCACAAGTCATTGGTCTGGAATCCACATGACTCCACTCGCACAAAAGGTCTGGGAAGCATGAGCCTACCAAGCACCCAGGCAGAGAGCTGGACATGTATGAGCAGCATTAATGACTGCAGTAACACCCTACTTTAATTCTCATATGACTGATACGTATATTCTTCCAATGTCTTATGCACCAAACCTCACAGAGCCTTGACTTTAACTGATCAAGTGTTAAATCAAGTGCTCACTCTTGCTTCAAAGTGTTTCTGCTATCGATCCCTTACTTTCCCATTACTACTATTGTTACCAGGCAACAAAGTGTGTACAATATTTTTTATAACTTGTTCATCATGACCTACAAGAAATAGATTTTACATTGAAACCAGGCACTGTGCACATACACACATGAATGCAAATAAAAGTTAATCCTCTCTCCTGTTGTCTCTTTTTATAATGACAGTCTCTACCCACCAAATTGACTTTATGAACCATAGACAGGTGTGGACTACAACCGTGATACCCATGGCTCAGGTGGGGACTGGCTTGCTGACCAGAACTCCCTAGTATGTAGGACTGCATAGCAGTGTTAGTCCCCCTTTCCTAGCTGCATCTTCCTTTAGGATTTCTTTTGTTCATCCTTTCACTTACTAAACAAAAGTTTATTAAGGCTAAGTACAGTGACAGACCCTTGTAATCCCAGCTACTTGGGAGACCAAGGTGGGAAGATCACAAGTTCAAGGCTAGCTTGGGGAACTTAGTGAGACCTTTCAAACTGAAATTTTTAAAGGGATGGGGATGTAACCCTGTGATAGAACACTTGCTAAACACATGTAAGGCCCTGGGTTTAAACCTATATACTAAAGGGAAATGAAAGTTTATTAAGAGCTCATCACTTGAAGGAAGATATGCCAGGGACTAGGATTTAAATAAGACATTGACCATGTTCCTGAAGAGATTACAAAGTAAAGGAGGAGACCAACATGTATACAAATAAATTGCCATAACATGGAAGACATCTTATAATAGAAGAAGGGAAATAGTTTTCCATTCAGAAGAAAAGCAACACAGCCTGCCTAGAGATAAGAGAGATGATCATTGATTAAATCCTGCTTTGATCATGTGGCTTAAAATTCACATTCTTTCCAAGTCTTTCCAACTTTATTTCCCATTCACCGATCCAATCTACTCTTCTATTTTCCAGCAAGCTAGATATTAAGTCTTTTCAAGCTGAGGCAGGTGACCAAAGCTATTGCCATCCCATTCCTGAGGCTCAGGTCCCATTACTATCCCTTCACTGGACATGTCTGATACAACACTGAAGTCCTTGCACATGGTATTGACATTGACCGAATGACCAGATAGCCTTTCCCTGCCTTTCCGCTTTGAACCATCCCTTTGTTAGCAGCTGCTCCAGTTCCTACCGCTCCATCACCCCCAAGAACACAGGAAACAACCTTAGGTGGAAAGAAAAGAGTTATTCAAAGCCAGCACCAAAGGAGGCAAGAACGTATTTTCCTCAAATCCTCTTCTCACTTTGTTCAGATGTGTATGGGCTTTTATTGCAAGGAAGTGGGTGAGACGATACAATGACACAATAGACAAGAAAGTTTTCCCACTGTTTGATCCCGTGGCCATTTCTGCTCCCTCCCTCCCTTGCGGAAACCAGGACCTTGACCTCCTGGGGCCAGCGTCTGCATATTCCTTTCAGAAGGACTGGCCAGCTTTCTGTTGGAGGTATTTCTTTTCTGTCCATTCATCTCAGCTGAGGTGAGGAGGGCTGGCAGTTTATACTGTCAGCTTGAGGAAGTTGGAGAAGCAATTTATCTGTAAAACAAAAAAAATTCCCAATTTTAAGTGACCCATTTCACCCTCTCAGCTACCCTTGCATTCTCTAACACCAAGCCCAAAATCCTACTTCAAAAAATCTTCCGATAGCTACAGCCTAGCCTGGTACCGTACACACAACAGTTATCTTCAATTTTTCTGTTGTTGTTTTGTTTTGTTTTTTTTGGTTTTTCTCCGGTACCAGGAACCGAACTCACGACCTTGAGCTTGCCAGGCAGGTGCTTTGCCGCTGAGCTAAATCCCCAGCCCCTTCAATTTTTCTTACATGTTCCTTTAAAATATTTTGAAAAATACCCTATGCCTACCCTACAAAATTTTAAACTGACATCTAAAAATGTTAATTATGTCTAATTTCCAACATGTTCACTAGTCATATGGGCTCTGAATATACTTTTGCCAAAAAACCTTGGCACTGTATACTTAGGTGGTTCAATTTATAGATAATATAACTTGGCAAACACAGTTCTCATTGTAAACCAATCATCTCAATTAGATTTACATTAGGTTAGAAAAAGGCTTACTTCATTTTTCAATTCAAACAGGCATATTAATGCCGATCCCCATGACAATGATCTCACTTTTAAATTCTCATTCAAAGATGGATGGGTGACTAGACGGGCCCTCAGAGCCTTGGCAGGATTTGTCTCTCGGCTAACAGAAGGAACCACTCCCTTCCGTGTCTCCTACTGCCATGGGGTGCTCTTCTCAGGAACAAGACTTCCGGAATCATACTTTTGTTTGGTGCCCCGGAGCAATCTGAGTTGATAGACTTTACTGGGGGTGAAAGGTTTGTCTTTCATTAGTAAAGAATGGGATCGCCAGGCGTGATGGCACACATCTGTAATCCCAGCACTCCAGAGGCTGAGGCAGGAGGATCGTTGCAAGTTCGAGGCCACCCTGGGCTACAAAGTGAGCTGAAGGCCAACCTGAACTGCATAGTGAGACCCTGTCTCAAAAAGACAAAAAAAAAAGCAAAAGTAAAGGAAGGGATTTAAATAGAGGTGGCAACCCTCAGCCAACCACACATGTGGCAGATCAATTTTAGGAAAGGGCACAGTTGGAACTGAGGACCTAGAAATGAATTCCTTTAAAATTAATTGAAGGGCTCCATCGAGAGTCATTTTCCCCTTCAAGGCATGGGCATTCCATTTGAGTTGAAGGACTGCTACCCTAAGGTGGTCCACAGAGCACCAAAGTCTAGCTCAGCATACATATTTGAGTGTTGGAGCATTAGAGTTTACCAGCTTTCTGATCTATGTCTGCGGTTTTTGTTTGTTTGTTCTGTTCTTTTTGGGAGATTTTTGAGACAGGGTCTCAATTATGTAGCGAAGACTGGCCTTAGACTCACGGCAGTCCTCCTGCCTCAGCCTCCCAAATGCTGGGATTACAGGCGTGAGCCACCCTACCTGACTATGTCTGGGTTTTAAGTCTCCACCCCAGTGATACTGTCAATTTCTTGATTTTGTGTTTCCCATTAATTGCAATTTATTTTCATTTTGTTTCCTCAGTGGAGTTGCAAACTTAAATGGAGAGACTATGAACACTTAGTTTAGCTTTTGCTCTTTATCCCTCTGAAAAGGACATTCCTGGCCTGGGTATCTTCCTTTTGGTAGAAATTGCCACCTTGGTAATTTAAGCATGGACTGGTGAACACGGAAACTGGATTTGGTGTTGAATGCGTTTTTTTGGGCTTTTCTACCCCTTCAACCGAGGCGTATATGTCGGCAGCTCCAAACTATAATGTGTCTGATTTCTCTGAGCACCCACGCTCTGTCGTTGAGTGCCTACTAAACCCTTCTTTGCCTCTTTTTGATGAGCCTTGAAATTTTTTTCTCTGTGACAGGAGTCAGCAGACCTGCTACAAAAGGGTGGGGATAGGTTCCTTATTTCAGCTTCCGGGACACTCAGACCCAGCCTGGGGACAACCACTTTTTAGATACAAAGATATTTATGAGAGAGTAGAGAATATTCTTGTTTTATCTTATGAGGGTTTCCCACTGGGCTTGCTGGAAAAGTGGGAGATGTAGTATTTGCTGTAGTCCAGAGATGGCAAACCTTTTAGAGACCAAGTGCCGAAACTGCAACCCCAAGCCCACTTGTTTGTCACAGAAAGCCAGCACTGCAATTACACTTGAATATTGTTTTGGCTTACAGAAAACACTTGCTATCCAATGTTTAGCTGATGGAACGACATGGCTCACACCCTTACAGAGAGAGCTCTGTGGCCCACTGCAGCACACGTGTCGTAGGCTCGCCACCCCTGCTGTAGTCCATAGCAGTAATGTTTCTGGCCCCTTAGGTTTGTAAGTTTAGGTTTGTTTGCTCACTGCTGACCAAATCAAATGAGGCCATTTATTTTGATAAAAAAGTAAAAAAAAGGAAGCGGATTTATTCAAAGCTAGCTCTGAGGAGACAGAGGGCCCCATTTGTCTCAAATCACCATGTACAGGTGGGTAAGGGTCTTTTATCGTAAAGCACAGAGAGACAATACAGATCTCCACACTTGCTGTATCGTACCACCTCATTCTCCTCTTTCTTGTAAAAAGGAAACTGGACTCTGGCGTCCTGGGACTCATATCTGCATAGTCTGTCACTTCTTCTGGGCTGAGGAAAAGGGGGTGTTGGTTATGCGCTCAGCAGGAGGGAGTTTGGATAAATGACTTATATCTAAAATTTTTTTTAAGACTCTGACTTCTAAAGTTCCATTTTGGTTACAGTATGACATGTCAAATGGTCCACTAGTTCCATTGAATGGGGTTACATTTATTATGTGCCTACTAAACAAATGAAAAATAGAGGATTTCTGCCCTCAAAGTGTTCACAGACCATAGGGAGACCTACGAGTGTATGTATTATAGAAGTTAAGATGGCTACTAATTCGATCACCTCCCCAGTGGTGCAGGCTACCAAAGGTCTTAGAAAATAATGGTAACATTGCCTAAAACCTTCAAGTGGCTAAAAGAAGGATTGGTTGCTGGCCCATTGGCTCCACCCTCTCATTCTTGTCCATTCTAGCCCAGTTCTACCTACCCCAACAAGCGGCCAACTTGAATTTTCATTAAGAAGCTAACAACTTCCTGAAGAATTTACCACTTGGTCTGTGTGTTATTTTATGGCCTATTCCTAATAAATTAAAACAAATCTGTGATCACAAGAGACTAGTTACCATCCCATAAACTAAATCCATATATCATGAACATTCTAAGTGCTTTGTGAAGCATATTCTCTCTTTTTTGAGGGTTTCGGGGAGAGAATTTGGGACACAGTCCCAGATCTTTGGGGCAGAAAGATGACCTTAGGTTTTGAGGTTGTTATAATTGCTATGGTTTCCAGCACCTTGTGGCCAGCTAGCTAACAGGAAAGTTTGTTGTCCTTCCAACTGGAGCTATTGGTTGTCCTTGAAGGGGAGGAAGCTTTGAAAAAATTAAATCTTATTTTTCATTTTTGTTTGTGTTTTGCTATATGTATTTCCTTTGATTAACACATTTACTCAATGTACTTTAAGAACATAAAATGCATAAATTAGAAATATGTGTTTTAAAACATGTGTCTGCCTGTTTACAGCTGTTAAACTGCCATCCACATCAAGATACCAAATATTGATCTTACCAATGAATGCCATGTTATTTACTACATAGTCATTTGAGTATCAAATATAAAACCTTTATCACCTAATAAGAGTTTCCGTTACCGTTAAACCCTTTAACCTTTGTCTTTGTCTTACAATGCTGAGCACTGAAGCTAAGGTTCTGCATGTACTAGACAAGCACTCTGCCGCTAAGCTGCAGAGCCCTAGCTTTCCACTGTTGCTTTATACAAATGTAGGTATCTTGGGTCAGAGATTGATTTTTCTCTCAATTTAAGTCTTATTAATTGAAAATTTAACCAGTTTGTGAATATGATGTCAGCTCTATCAATCTCTTTTATGCTAATTTTAATACTTCCTTGCCATTTTTCTGTTGCTAATTTTTCTTGGTATTTCACTTGTTTTCTATTCCAAAAGCTCAGAATGTATATATTCTATTTTTTGCCCACAATCCAATGACAAGTAGACTTATGTGAACTACCATCTAATTCAGTAATCATCCTTTTTCCCAATTCAGTACATCCAACAATGTTTTATCCACCCTTCTCCGACCAGTGCTTTCGAATTTTTTGCTTATACTATTAGTATTAACATCCTGGGCAAACTTGCTAGTTTTTTCTTCTGTAATTGAACATAAGGGAAGTAAAAGTGTAATATTTTTCAATTTTTTTAGACAACCATTTAGAATATCTTTACTGTTCTTCTCTTTTTCTTTCTTTTTCTTCTTTTTTTTTTTTTGTCTCTTTGAGGCAGGGTCTTGCTATGCAGTTCGGGGTGGACTTGAGCTCACTTTGTAGCCCAGGCTGGCTTCAAACTCTTAATGATCCTCCTGCCTCAGCCTCCCAAGTGCTGGGATTACAGGCGTGTGCTACCACACCTGGTTTATTCTTCTTGTCTTGTCAGCAGTGAAAAAGCACTTTTATTTTTACATACATTTGCTTAACAAGAGGCATCTTTATCTATAATAGTATGTGGTGAGAATACAACAGCATTTATTTGCCCACTACAGTGAATACTTGGCATGCTCTTTGGCAGTTTAAAAACTACATAAATTGAAGGGGGAAAAAAAAAAACTACATCAACTGAACATTTTACAGCTTGTTTACAAATCTCTGTTTTGCATTTAATTTTATTATCTCTATGTATAACAATTTTAGGCTGCATGTGTTATGGTTTACAGCCATAACACATGTCCCCCCATAGCCTTATACACGCAGGGACAGGGCTTTTGGAAATTGATACAATCTCTGGGACAAGAAAGTTGGTTTGCTGTTAGGTCAGAAGAGAGTGTCACAGGGGTGTGACCTGGAAGGGTACATCTCCCTGCCTTCACTCTCTGCTTCCTGGATGCCTTGATGTGAGCAGTTTTCTCTGCCAAAACTTTCCATCAGGT